AAGAAAGTTATAACTTATCATCAATTCATAAAAAAATAAAATAAAATAAAAGTTTTAGAAATTGGATTGAGAGGAAGAAGACAAAATCCCATAGTGGAAGACCGAGTCGGATTATATTCTGTCACCCACCAAAAACCACAACACAGAAGACGCGTCAACGAATCTCCTTCGTCGCCATTCTAAATTCTCATATTGCTTTCCATCTCACCAATCAAAACCCACCTCCAATTCGAATTCGAATTCCAATTTCATTTGGGTTTCATTTGGAATTTGGGTTCGAGCCACGAAGCAACCGCGATTTGGGTCGAATTTGGATAGCGAAACCAACGAAAGTGGGGCCTTTTTGCTCTTCTCTTCCTTCACTCTGCTTTGACTTTGACTGGTTGAAGCCGCGAGGAAGAAAAGTCGCACCTTCTTCCCCCTTTCTTTGCCCCTTCTCCTTCGCCTGCTGGATAATAAAACCCCCATTTCTTCCATTCTTCCCATCTCAAACTCCCTCCTATCGAGGCCTTCTCGATTTCTCTCCTTCGCGCYGAGGATTTTTCAACTCTGCTCTCTGAATCGAGCTGTTTGTTCCTTCAATTTCACTTCCAGGTATGCCAATTCTCCGATTTTCCAGTCTTCAGTTCTGCTGCTTTTGAATCGATCTGTTTTTCCTTCCTGTTTTTCGTGATTTTCCACATGGGTTTGTCTTGAAATGATCTGGGGTAGTGTTAAATCTTGAGGATTTGCGTGTTTTGGGCTACTTTTCTTCTGGGTCTGTCTAGGAGTTGTGATTTATGGGGGTTGTTGATTTCTTGCAGGAGTTGGATATGTGCAGTGGCTCGAAGAATAAAGGTGCTTCCTCGGATCCTGCCATGGAAGCCAAGTTTCAGAAGCTTAACGATGGGGGTTTCTTCTCTGCGAGTTCAATTTTGCTTGAACTATCTGCCTCTGATGATGTAGAAGGGTTCAAGAGAGAGGTGGAAGAGAAGGGTTTGGATGTTGATGAGCCTAGTTGCTGGTATGGAAGAGGGATTGGGTCAAAGAAGATGGGGTTTGAAAAAAGAACTCCACTGATGATTGCTGCCATGTTTGGAAGCTCCAAGGTTGTCAAGCACATAATTGAGACAGGCAAAGCTGATGTTAATAGGGCTTGTGGTTCAGACATGGCCACTGCCCTCCACTGTGCCACTGCTGGTGGCTCTGGCTCTTCCCTTGAGACCATCAAGCTCTTGCTCGATGGATCTGCCGATGTCGAGTGCGTCGATGCTAGTGGGCGAAAACCTGTTGATTTGATTGTTTCAGCTTACAGGATGGTGTGCAATTCAGGAAGAAAGGCTATGGAGATGTTGTTGAGGGGAGATGGTGTGGCTGGGGAAGGTGATCTGAGCCTTTACCTTGACGAAGACCAGCAGAAGATCACAGCATCTCAATCTGCAAAAGAAGGAACTGACAAGAAAGAGTATCCTGTTGATGTATCGCTGCCCGACATAAACAGCGGGATATACGGTACCGATGATTTCAGGATGTATACTTTCAAAGTGAAGCCTTGTTCGAGGGCGTATTCGCACGATTGGACCGAGTGCCCTTTCGTTCATCCTGGTGAGAACGCTAGGCGAAGAGACCCCAGGAAGTACCCGTATAGCTGCGTCCCGTGCCCTGAATTCCGAAAGGGGGCATGCCAAAAGGGAGATTCCTGTGAGTATGCACATGGTGTTTTTGAATCTTGGCTCCACCCTGCTCAATACCGAACCAGGCTCTGCAAGGATGAGACCGGGTGCACGAGGAAGGTCTGCTTCTTCGCTCACAAACCTGAAGAATTGCGCCCCGTGTATGCTTCAACGGGCTCTGGCATGCCTTCACCGAGGTCCCTTTCGAGCAGCGCAGGAGATATGTCTACCATGAGCCCGTTGGCTCTTGGTTCATCATCGTTGTCGTTGCCAACTACATCAACACCTCCCATGTCTCCTTTGGCATCAGTGTCTTCCCCTAAGAACGGAAGCTTGTGGCAGAACAAGATTAACCTTACCCCTCCTGCTCTGCAACTTCCCGGTAGTCGGTTAAAGTCTGCTTTGAGTGCAAGAGATTTGGATTTGGAGATGGAACTGCTCGGGTTAGAGAAGAACGCAAGCCAATTACAACATCAGCAGCAGTTGATCGACGAGATATCCCGGCTCTCGTCTCCTTCTTACTGGAGTGGAGATGTAAGCAGGAGTGCGGAGTTGAAGCCATCAAACCTTGATGACATGTTTGGATCACTAGATTCTTCCTTGTTGTCTCAGTTTCAGGGTGCCTCACTGAGAACCCCGATCTCAGCTCAGGTACAATCTCCGACTGGGCTGCAGATACGCCAAAACATGAACCAACTTCGTGCAAGTTACCCAGCTAACTTATCATCCTCACCTGTAAAGAAACCCCCATCTTTCGGCTTCGACTCATCGAGTGCAGTGGCAGCTGCAGTGATGAACTCAAGGTCTGCTGCCTTTGCAAAACGAAGCCAGAGTTTCATCGACCGAGCTGCAGTGACCCGCCTTCCTGGGCTGACCGCAGCTGCAAACTCTGCAGCTAAAATGTCTTCCCATCTCTCCGATTGGAGCTCACCCGATGGTAAACTAGACTGGGGAATGCACGGCAACGATCTCAACAAACTCAGGAAATCTGCCTCGTTTGGGATCCGAAACAATGGCCTAGGAGCTCCCTCCTTCACGCCATCAGCAGCGGAGGAGCCAGACGTCTCCTGGGTCAACTCCCTGGTTAAAGATGTTCCCTCGAACAGTTTCGAGATGTTCGGTGCCGAGAAGCGGCAATACAACCTCAAAAGAGAGGTGAACGAGATGCTCCCGTCCTGGATGGAGCAGCAGTTGTATGCAGAACAGGAGCAGATAGTGGCATAAGCAAGCGCTTGCCAAAATCCCTCCTCTACATTATGCTAACAAACTCAAGTTCTTCACATTTCATTCAATATTTGATTACAGAAACTATAGTTTAAACTTAGTAGTAAAGAGAATTGTTATAGAGGCAATTCGAGTTCAAGAAAAAGCCCCGAAGTTTCGATATGGGGTCGGTCGATCTTCAGCCAGATCAGTAACAATCTGAAGATCAGATCAGTAAGAAGATATCTTTGTATTCTTTTCATTGTATCATATTATATTTGTTAATTTTTTTCTCCATTTTGGGGGCGCTTATATAAGATGAATATGTATCCTTTTTCACTCTAGTATAATAAGAACAAAAGCTCTGTATTGTCTTCTGCAAACAGATTGTGAGGAACAGATTTTCCCCTTTTAATTTTCTCCTTAAAATGGGCTGTGAGGATTAAAAGTTCTGATTCAGCACTTGTAAGTCAGCATAATTTTTTTAAGAAATTTAAACATTCTGTAACTAACTATGTTTCTTGTTTCTCTTTTTTTTTTTGGAACATTCTCAAAAGTCTATAGAAATTTTTAGAAAGAACCAGACAAATTTCTTCTTTCTCATTTCTATTTCCAATCTTCTCTAAAACATAAATAAAAATATTATTTTATCTTACTTCAATTCATTGATGTTGTGATCCTATCTTTCATTTTTCTTGATTAAAAATGAAGAAACAGAAATATTATCGAACGGACTCGAGAAGTCCAAATAATTGGGAGGAGAAGGGGAAGATGAAGACGAAAGATGAAGATGGAGGAAGGGCAAGTTTGGAAAAATGAAGGCAGCCAAGCCAGACAGACAAAACCAGAAGAGTGACAGCAATCACAGCTAAAACCTTAGCTATATTATTAATTTAGGATTATTGGTTGGGAGAGACAGATTTGAGGTTGTCCAATTGGGTGGTGGGGCTCACTGCCTCTTGACTTTTTTAACCCTTCCATGTTCTTTTCATAGCCGCCCATGGGATTTTTTCCAACCCAAAATCTTATGATAGAAAGAGAGATTGCTTTGAAGTTTCCCACTTTTATCTTATTCCGTACTTGTTTGGCTCACGAGTTAGATTTTTAGTATTGAGTCTGTGTTTAGTACGTGAATTTCGAGGCATATGTTTGATTATTATCTCATCCACTGGAGAACTCCATATAAATTCAAGTTTGTAAAACTCATGAATCAAATGTAGGCGGTTGTGAATTCGCGTTTTTATAAAATTTTTTTAATCTAAATACACTTTTGTACCATTCTAAATTTCATAGTCGTAAAGTTTATCAAATCTTCTTGTCTAAGAGATTGCAGATGGGAGAACGACCGGGTAGCTACAAGGGGGAGAAGGAGAAGGAGATGGGAGAAAACTAAGCTCAACTATTATTATTATAGTAATAAGAAAAATTAATATCAAAGACGTAATATAACTATAATATATTTTACGAAGCTTTGAGTTTAAATCGTAAAATTTGAAAACCTAAACTTAAGGCCAATCAGAACATATCTCAGCGGATTAAGGTATATTTATTTAACCATGAGGCTGTGAGTTCAAATTTTCATTCTACATGTTAG